AGAGGTCAATAGTCATGGCCGGCGGAGGGAGAGGTGGCGATTTGGAGGTTTGGGATTGGTGGTGGGATTTTGAAGGGGAATCGGGGAATGGGGACAAGTCATGTGCGGGGGAAGGAGGGGGCATCGTGGAGCCCGAAGAAGGCAGGATTCCTCCTCGGGTTTGGATTTTGCCGGTGAAGATTAAGAAGGGGGAGGTATTTATGAGAGGGGCGGGGATCGGACGGCTGTGATGGAGCTGTTTATGGTCGGGTTTTGGGTCCGAAGGTTGGGTGGGGACCGGGGGCTTTGGCGCGGGGCGGTGAGGGGGTGTGGGAGGGTCGGATGGTGGGGAAGGAGAAGCTGTGGGTGGTGGGACCCGTGTAGGGGGGGTCAAGGAATGGGTTCGTGTGGGGTAGGAGGTGGTGCATTTAAGTGCCGCTGCATGAATTGATTGATTTGTCCTTAGAGACTGTCCCCATTTTCATGGGTAATAGTGAGTTATATTTTTTTTTAGTATTAAAAATTTTATAAATATTCTATTTTGTTTTCAAAATTTTATTTGGATGAATTTTTCTAGAGACTATTTTTTTGGTTGAATAATGAATAATTATCTTAAGTTTGCACGGAATTCAACACATACTCAGAAAAATGAAAAATAATCAGTAGCGACACGAGAAGTTTTTTTTATATGGAAAATCATAGAAGAAAAAAAATTACGGGACATAGCATGGTTGCTAAGATCCACTATAAGTCGATAATTACATATATCTCTTGTCCCACAGGGTGGGAAATGGTTACAAAATCATCTGAATTACAACGTCGATGAGCAGAGGAACTTATCACAAGAAATGGACAGCGATCGATAATGATCGGCGACTGCTGACAAGTGATGGCCAATTGTGTTCGAATGTGGCTGATGTGATGCTAGACTTCAGATATCTCTTGTCGGCATTGATAATTGCAGGATATCTTTTATCTCACAGGTGAGAAATGGTTACAAAATCATCTGAATTACAAAGTCGATGAGCAGAGGAACTTATCACAAGAAATGACCAACGATCGATGATGATCGGCGACGACCGACAAGTGATGGTCAATAGTGTTCGACTGTGGCAGCAGTGATGCTAGACTTAAACTTCTTCTCAAAGCTTCAAAACTCTTCAGACTTCAAGCTTTCTCTTCAGACTTCAAGCTCTCCTCTCATGAGAGAGATGTGACTCTATTTATAGAGTTCTAAGTGCAAATAATACAGAAATATGAACCAATTTGATTGGACATCTCATAGGGCTTCTCTCGATCAGACGACGTTGATGGACATTTGAGTGTCTTAAGGATGCCAGAATTGAATAAACTTAGGTTTATTGAATTCGTCTTGTCCAGACACTCAATTAAACTATGAACTCGCAAAATTCTAGAAAGTTTAAACATACTTGAAGTGTTTGATTTATTTAAAAGTGAAAACGCCTAAAAGGTACACCGATGAGCAGACTATTTTTATCAATAAAAAAAATACTTTTTTGAATAAAATATCATAAATTATCTCGTATAATTTCATGGGGATAATCCATAAAATGAGGCCAAGTCAACCCTATTCAGATTAATGGAGGGTAACAAATTTGTCGAACAAAATAAGAATGATGAGTTGAGCTAGTACTGTCAATTAGTTTTGGATTGAGAAACTTCAACATGATGATGAAAATACCTCACATCCCCACAATGTTCAACTATGGTTTGTTGATTTTATCATTGATAATCTATTTTGTTGTGATGCCACTATATTTTGGTCAACCTCTTTTAAGATTTGAAGGATTTGAGCTTGAAGGTTTTCCATATTGTGCATACAAGCCTCCTAGGATAGTCCTTTGGAGTGATTATTTATTTTTTTCTTTTTCTTTGTTATGTTGTTTTTGGTTGAAACTTTTATTGCTTGAATTGATACATATTGGGATAAGAAAATCTATTATTACAAGTTGTATGTAGATTGGCTATTAGACCCATATTAATAGAATGCTAGAAATCAACAATCGCTCGATGGGAGTTTGTGAACAAAAATCAAATGACATTGATTAAGCAACGGTTCATAATCAAGTAATGGTGGACAATGACAATCAAATGATAATGGTCGGATAGTAATGAATAGATGATAGCAGCTAGTTAATAAGGACTATTGGCGCTCATTAACATTTATTATTAGGCAAAATCGTGCAGTTCTTGAGATCATAACACTCTCTGAACTGAAGTCAATGTCGCCCCCTTAAAAAAAAATCTATTATTTTTAGAGTCACGATTTGGTAATTGTGGTCAACATCCCAAAACAATCAATCTGATGGCTTATATTAATTTATTTAATTATAGGCTATTTTTTAATGTTTATGTATTTCAATTTCATCAAATCTGAGTGATATTGAACTCATTAGATCTTTTTTATCAAAACACTCAATTTGACAGTGAATATGTAAAATTTGAAGATTATTTGGCCATTCATTTAATATGCTAAAGTTTTTAAACATACTTGAAGTGTTTGATTTATGCTAATTTTAGCTTGGATTATATCACATTTAACGTCACTGGTTTCTTTTCATTAAGTCGCTCAATTTGGCTATAAACTTGCTAAAACTAGAGCTCCATTGATCATAAATTTAATAATAAAGCTATTTCACTTAAATTATTTGTAGACCGCACCCGATCAAATAATTTTTTTTTGTGACATCAAGTAACATAAAACAATTTTTTTTTCTTTAAATAGATTTTGAAATGAAGTTTAATATGTTATTGTTACTATTTTTGTATGTTTGGGTACGTTGGAGTTTGTAGCCATTCAAATAATATTTCCAACCACCACGTTCTGAGGAATGCTTTGGACATATAACAAAATGTTGGCCCTAACACAATCATAACATATGGTTCCAAAAAATGTTACTTATGATTAATCTAATTAAGATTTGTTATAGCCTATAACAAGATTTTTAGCCTATTTTTTTTTGGAAGATGGGATTTATTTGACATAATTTGAACAATTTTATTTTACTGATCAAAAAGAAAAAAAAAAGTATAAATTACAGTTACATACATACCACATAATTGTTATATATTTACATCTTGGAAGATGGGATTTATTTGACATAATTTGGAAAATTTTATTTTACTGATCAAAAAGAAAAAAAAATGTATAAATTACAATTACATACATACCACATAATTGTTATATATTTACATATCCAACACCACATGGTTCTGATGCCTTCTTTGAAGTTAACTTGTGTATATATCATACTACTCAGTGTACAAAATATATGTCCTATGTGGCTCACTTGAATTGGGCTAGGGAGATAAGCTCTATGACTATTGCACCATATCCAGGTGTAACCACTATAGATTGACATGCGGTCTAGGAAAATTGAGACAAATAAATTCTACCCAAAAAGATTGATGGTCAGGGATTGCGTTCTCCAAGCTCATACCCTTGAGGGCAAACACTTGAACCTAACCCACCCTAAGTAAACTTGGACAGGCAAACATGGTCAAAGGTGCTCGGTGAGGGCGATGCTACGAAGCCAAGTCTTGCAACACAAGACACCATGGGAAATATTAGGTATTCCAATATTCACTTGAGGGATTTTGTAGGTTAGGTGTGGGGATATTTGCTTACCATAAGGTTTTCCTCTAAGAACACAAGCATGCATCTAATTATCTACAATAATCCTAGATGCTCTAAAGAAAATGGAACAATGATAGAGTAAAAATAACGTACAAGAAATTGAGTCCAGACTTTGACTCATCGATCCTCATCGCATGATGCCCGGACTACTCCCTCTCAGCATGAACAACTCCAAGAAAAGGAGGAGGGGTGAGAGAGACGGAGGCCTTCTTTTACTTTTTCTCTCTGTAATCCCACTTAAGAAAGCACACAATTTTGTTTATTTATTCATAGGAAAGAGCACTCTCCAACTCTTACTCACACCCCGGTTTTCTAAAAGTACTCTGGGAAAAACTCCTTAATCTCCAGAAGAGAATAGTACAACAAAAGAGAGTCCACCAGTAAAAGACCATGAGGCCGACTTATTCGATTGAATTCAGCCGCTTAGCCAAAGCTAGTAAGCCCAAAGCTGACTAAATCATGAAGATGATCAAATGATCTAAATCCAAGTCATTTTGTCAGAAATAAGATAAAGTGATTTTCAAGCCAACCAATATGAAAAAGCCTACTTAAGGGAACACTTAGCCCCTCGATATATCCAATTATACCGAAGAGGTTCAAAAGCTTCACCCATCTATTATCATGAGTCAACAACTACACTTACTCAATTACCTAAACCGATATTGTCAACCTAAAACCTATCAAGCTTACTCGTCAGACAACATTGACTGACCCTAAGATCGATAAATTATTCTGAACTAAAGCCTAACGAGCTCAACCGACTGCGTCAGAGAGTAGTCGAGCGATTGCCCCATATCTATAAAATATCAAGAATACTCTATACAACCCCCATTAAAACAAAAGCAAAAAGTAAACACTATTATATTATAATCTTTCTACCATAAATAGAGACATCATTTCATGTATAAAAGAGAGTAGATATAACCAATTTTAGCCAAAAAAATTCTAGGAAAGGTCAATACGACTGATTCAATTCGGTGTTCATTATTGTACAATCATCTTTCTTTATCTCTCTCTCTCTCTTTCTCTCTCTCTCTC